AGTTACCCGCTTTTTTCCCCAGAAGTTTTGAAAACTACCTACTGGAAGTTTTGACTTCCACAATGCACCAACTACTGAAAATAGTAGAAAAACTACTGAAGTTGAAAATCGAAGCACTATTTCGACTACTTATTGTGAACCCTATAGAGCAGGGATGGGCAACTCACAGTTACTATAGGGCCAATTTTTAGAAATTTAAAATATAGCGGGCCAGAGCATAGAAAGCAAAATAAAAAAAAGGTCATTCAAAATATACATTTAGATAGAGTACCTAGATAGAGTATACACTATACTAGACATTATAGATTATAGAGTATAGACGATAAAGTTTAAAATTGTATACCTATACCTAATGCAATTTGAAAATGTAGCGCGGGCCAGATAAAAAAGGCTCGCGGGCCCACCCCTGCTATAGAGTAATGATATAATGTGACGATACTTTATGTTGTGAACACGGACACAAAAAAAAATATACATATAGAATCAACACATTCATCTCTTAATCTCATAATCTAAATTTAAATTTAATGTTTAATTTTAATTTTAAAAAGAAATTGAGAAGTTTTTATCAAATTGTGTTTATTCTTTTAAAAATGCTTTCAAACCATAAACAATATTCTAAAAATCAAAATTTTTAAAAAGTGCTAAATAAAAATTTCATTTTTAATTTATTGATAAATGAAAACTGTAAAACGTGCATTTTGTTTGAAAAGCAATGTTATAGAAAAATTTAAAAAAATGCAATTTGTATTTAAATCTGCACCAAAGTTAAAAATAATAATTGTTGACGAATGATGATGCATTTATGCCGAAGATGGTGGATTACCAGCTGAACTGAAATCTTAAATCTTAAACACCTAATATGAACAATATTTCATACTCGGGTATTTAATAAAAAAAATAGTAAATACAAAATATTTATAATTTATACCAATACCAATTTTATTATAAATCTATAAAAATAACAAATTATTTTTGAGCAGTGGCCCACTGGGAAATTTCCCTTGCCAGCCAGTCCGCCCATGTAACTAATAAATTTATAAAGTACCTTGATTATCCAGAACATCAAATTTATAAAAATGTCCCCGCCTCATAACTACAATATGTTTTCCTGATGTATTATTGTGTAAAACATCTTGATCAGTCATTGGAATTCGTGTGTTATTAAATAAAGAACTATACTGAGACATATCTAAAGGATACGCCTGTAATTTTTTTAAATAATATCAAAAATACATGGTTGCCTAGAATATACACAGTAAATTATACAAATATTATTAATATATGTATATTGTTCAGCATAAATATTTTATAAATGGGGCACACATTTTATAAATATCATGCGACGAACTTCCTTACTATAATACTTAAATGATTAAAATTCTTGTAGGATTCTCAGTATACAACTCCAATGAAAGCTAAAAATACGTGAATAGTTGCAATAATTTAATTTGTCTTAAAAACAATTGTTAATTTAATTTTATGATCTTAAAATAATTTTACCTTATGATTTTATTCCTGCTTTATCTACTTGAATATACTTATCTAATGCTAATTTCAACAACTGTTCTGAAACTATATAAACGTATGTATACCTATTTGAATTTGTTATGAATTCCACTAGAGATTAATTTTCATACTTTTTTTTAATTTGGAAAATTAAAAGTTTTAATAACAATTTATCCCAAAAAGTTCAATTAAAAATGTAAGAAAAATGTTTTTCAGTATACTTCACAACAAATTTAAATTCAGTTTCAGAACTAGGTTACTTAATACAATTGACAGATTGTCCCTTAGACAAAAATAAATAAATGTAAGTATATTTTATGATTTGCAAAAACACCAGCTATTTATTTTACACTCCAGAACACTCACTGAAGATCACACTTACAAAATGTTCTATATTGAACTCTTTAAGACCATACAATATCAAATTTTCATTATACTTACATTATACATGTAGGCTCCATACCAACTAATTGATTCTGGAAGGTATTTCATGAGTTTTCTAAATTGGATGGTATCACTTTTCTTTGGATTGATATGAAAAATTTCTGGCTCTAATATATTTGCATTTAATGATTTGTAAAATCTAAATTTAAAATAAAGATATATAGGGCAGGGTTGTTATTAACACGCTTATKTTTTTAATAAATACAGTTAATAATTGAATTATCATTAATTAAATACCTATTAATTCACAAGAATGATTTTATCAGCTTCTAACAAATAATACTATATTATACACGAAGAAAACAGTCGATAATAATTATGGGGACTAATACACTTGGGGGGTAACCCCTAGACACACCTATGAGTAGTCCTAGCAAGGATTATGAAAAGAGCCAATAATTATTTGCATATATTTTTGAAATTAAATATATCAATTTRAATCATGAATATAATCAATTTTACAAACAATTAATATGACATMAATTAACATTTAATTTATTAAAAATAATAATATATAGGTAATGCCTATATTATATTAGAAAAATTATTTTTGTAAAATTGTATTTATTTATTAATTGATATTAGATTCTAAGCGAAGCAATGAATGTATTAACTTTAGAATGAAGTGTGATGTTGTTTTCTGTAAGTAAACATGAATTACAGAAGAAAACTACTATTTTCAACTTTGATAAGGATTTCTGATACCAAAATGAATCTAATTGATACTTTCAATCAAATGAATCTAATAATTTCCAATACTATTCAAAATAATTGGAAAACCTAGGAACTTATAATTGACATTTTGACTTGTTTATATTATTATTTTCTATGCATAATATAATATCTGAAATATGTTAATTGTTTTTGAGCTATTTATAAAACTTCATTTTTAACAAAGTTGAAAAAAAAATATTTTCCAGGATCAAAAAGTTTAAACATTGAATACTTAGTTCCTCATAAACAATTTATGACTAATCTATTACTGAAAATTAAAAATAAAAGTAAGGAAAATCTACCATTAAGTTTTTACTAATGTTTGAAGTTTAAATATTAGCGAATTACACATGTAGTTTTCCACATCTCAGATTTTAAAATGTATACAAATTGTATTATACGCTGTTATAATAGAAGTGTAAAAAAAGAAATTAAGCATAATAACATAAGTATAGGTTATATTTATTTTTTTGATAAATGTTGATAAAAGTTGTTTGTTCATTTAAAAAGTTCTGAGTAAGACTTAAGTCTATTGAAACACCAATATCTAAGAAATATATGAACATAACTTTTTATATAGACATTTGAATTTCAAACGTTGTCAGAATTCGATTTAATACATACATCACTATACGTAATAATAATTTTCCAAGTAACTGATTACTTTTAACCTAACATATAAACTGACAGACTATCATTGCTCGGAGTTATTTTGCAAGTTATTATTCATCATTGAATTCTAATTAAGCGAGTACATATAACAATGACCTACTTAATTACAAGTTGCACTTGACATCAACTGTATAAAAAAGAGGTTAACTACTTCCCCCCCTACACAATTTGAAGCTATCATATGGTATGCGGTCTACCGGAAAATAAGTTCTACCTGCCGCTGTAAGATGTGGTCTACCTGCGATTTTTACATATTAGGCTTAAGTTTATTTTTAATATATACACTTTAATCTTTTTCTATCTTTTAGATACACTTTATCTTAATTGCATTATACACAGATAACAATACTTCAACATTTTGTAAAAGCATTGGCTCAATAGCTCAGTATGCCATTTATAATTGCGCGACACCACATTTTAACACCATATTTTATACACCCAATATGTTGGCAAAAGTAATAATAATGAGTAGTGATGAATCTACCACAATTTTTTTAATTAGCAAAAATCTTGTGGCAAATAATAAAAATGCCRAATGTATTAAGTGTGGAAGTGCTATGAATTTATACCTACGTAAGGAGAGAGGTAAGGAAAAGAGAGTTTTACGTTGTAAGAGAAAGGGATGTCAAAAAAAATAAATTTTTAATGATTAATTTTTTACTAGACATTACCACTACAATATTATGATATTTTTAATTTATTTATTCGCGGTAGACCGCGCACTATACTCGTAAATTTACCGGTAGACCGCATACTATGCGACAGCCCAATTTRATGATATTTTGATGTTGATAGATATAATATATTCATAAAATTAAATATTAGCGTAGGCCACAAAAAAATTGTAAATCTGCCATGTAATAGTTACCAATGCACAGAGTGTAGGTTCCTAAAAACCATTCATTTTTCATAAATTTCAATATATTATAATGTTTAATAATCTATTATTTATAAAATTATTATTAATTAATCAGAACTTGAATAAAACTACCATTGTAAGAATATAAGCTAGCAAATTTTTATTTGAAATTATATCAAAACTTAATGGCGTATAATTTTTGATTTGCTAAATAAAATTATCATTTATTATAATAAATAAGAAATTAGGTGTACTGAAAGTTTTAAATTTGTTATAATGGTAATAGTACCATGAACAATTTCAAAGTCCATTTTAATGGTAGKTATAATCATTATCAAAATAAAAATTTTAATAATTGTATTCTTTTTAAACATAACTTATATAAATTAATACTCACCTAAGTGATGATATCAACAAATTAGTAGATCTTAGTAATTGGTTATTATATGCATTATCTAATTGTTTAAACACCAATAATGGATTATAATTAATTGGTAAAGGGGTTCTATCTGACAAATACATATTGAACCAATCCTTAGTAATATAACTAGTAGTTTTGTTCAAATTATTTTTTTTTTTTAACATATCTTGTAATAAATTTCCATCATTTAGTTCAAAGTTTTCCACAATTTTTTTAGTTTTCAAATAATCATTTTTTGAAAGTAAAGGTTGTTGTGCTTTAAGGTAACGTTGACAAGTTGATTTTAATTCTGGAATTGGAAGTCTAGGTAAAGATTGTTGAAAATGCATTGTAGGTATAATACTGTTCTGAATATATTGATAKTCATCAGATTTATATCTGTAAAACAAAATATGAATTTTAAATTTTTAAATATTAGAATTTTAAAATTTTAAATATTAAAATTTAAAAAAAAAATCATATTTATATAGTTCAATATCATTAATGCATTATTAATATTTGATTTAACTTTTAATGAAGACACTTAAATAATTGA